CCTCCTGGTTCTCCAGGTTGGGGGTTGGAATGAGGGGTGGCACCTTATTCCTTAAAATGGACTCCTTGTAGCCCAACGCCAAACCCGCAGCGTTGCGGTCAGGTTTTTGAACCAAAGGCTTTGGTTGAGAACACTAATCGTTCTCCTGTCTAGGCCTGGGCAACCTGACAGTATCCTGCCCACGCAATACTATGAATTTTCCTTCAAACAATTTCTTGATGCTCTGGCCACCGCAGAGGATAATAAACGGTGCCCTATCTGCTGCATCGAGCATGTTGGATAGGGGTTTGGATGCTACTGCTCAAGCCTTCCCGTCTTCTTATTCCCCCTCTTACGCTTTTTCACTCTTACCGTCCCATTCCAACTTCACTTATATCCCCCCAGTTTTCAACCCCTCGATTCTTGGCCCTCCCCCAACATGCTTTGCTAGGCATTTACCTTCTAATTTCAACTCACACGTGAACGCGGAGCGTCACTCCTCTCCTGTCGACAAGCCCATGCCCAACCAAGCGGTCCATTCCAGTTCATCGGCTTCCATTTGGAGCCCTCGATCCTCCTTCAGATTGTCATGCCTCAATGTACGCACACGGCTACAAATCGGTCAACATGCAGCACTTGCCCGAACATTGGAGACCTTCTCGATCGATATCTGCTGCTTATCAGAGACTCGCCTGCAAGACTCGAGCACTGTGCTCACTCTGCGATCCCCTTCAGGGGACGCAAGCAGTATTTTCTGCTTGCGCCTATCCGGTGACGATGCAGCTTCAAGCGCCGGTGTTGGTATTGCCCTGAGTCCCCGAGCTGAAGCTGCTCTGGTTGATTGGATTCCAATCAGTAGCTGGATGTGTGCGGTCCGATTGGCTGGCTCCTCTACAGCATCGAAGTCGCGCGGGACTAATAGATGTCTATTCATCATCGCTGCCTATGCGCCCACAAACTGTAGCGATGATTCGGTAAAGAACGACTTCTACCGCCAACTGACCCAGCTCCTTCGCCACAGAAGAAGCACGGACACTGTTGTGCTGGCGGGGGATATGAACGCACAAGTTGGAAAGTTGTCCACTGATGAACTGCATCTGGGCGGTCAACACGGTGTAGGCTCCCGTAATGATAACGGTGAGCGGTTACTTCATTTGTGTGAAGATGCTCGCTTATTTCTTGCGAGCACTAATTTCCAACACAGCACCCGCCGAAGGGTGACTTGGCGCCCACCAACCTCGAACCAGCCTTGCACGCAGATCGATCACATTGCTATTGGTTACCGCTGGAGAGGCTGCATCCAGAAATGTCGCTCGATTTAGAGCACATGTGTGGACACCGATCACGCACTTGTATGTGCTGACATGCGGATGCGTTTTGGCGGACGCCCACGACGACGCTGTGAGCGTATTGACACCAGCCAACTGACAAAACCAGCTGTTCTGAATGCGTATCGAAGTACGCTAACATGCGAGTTGAGCAAGCGCTCACAGGAGACAATTGATGGTCACTGGTCACATGTTCGCCAGACCTTACTAGCAGCAGACAAATCCTCATGTGGTATGTCTAATAGACAACATGGACATTGGGTCTCTTCACAGTCTCTGGAACTTATAGATGCTCGCCGGCAAATCCCGGCTGGAAGCGAGCACAATGAAACTCGCAAAGAGCTCCGGGCAAAACTCCGTGCTAGCCTGAAGAGAGACCGCGAATCTTGGTGGTCTCATCGTGCGTCAGAGATGAAAGTGGCCGCTGCCCTTGGCAACCATCGTAAGTTATTCCGTCTGATCCGGGAAACGGGCAGCAGAAGACCTGGTGTTAGTGAAACTATACGTGACGAGAGTGGACAGCCTATCCACAATTTGTCAAAACGTCTGGAGCGTTGGGCTGAGCATTTTGAAAAGCAATTTAATCGGCAAGAATTGTTCGATTCGCCGGTCATTGATCGCCCCGCTCCGTGGGCTGTCCCTTTGGATCCACCCTCTCGCTCAGAAGTCGAACGTTAGATCGGACTGTTGAAGTTGAACAAAGCCGCGGGACCAGATGATCTTCCTCCAGCCCTCTTCAAATTCGGAGGCTCTGCTCTTGTTGATGCTTTGCATGAATTACTAGTGAAACTGTGGGAGCAGGAAACTGTCCCAACCGACTGGAGCCGCTCTGTTATTGTTCCCATCTTCAAACGCGGCTCGCGCTCGGAATGCGGCAACCATAGAGGAATCAGTCTGATCTCCATCGCCTCCAAATTACTCGCGTCCATAATTTTCCACAGACTGACTGGCGCTCGTTAAAGCCAGATTCGTGAGGAGCAAGCCGGGTTTCGTCCTGGTCGTGGCTGCATCGACCACATCTTCACCTTGCGTCAGTTGTTGGAGCACCGTCACACATATTGGCGGCCCACCGTAGTCGTGTTCCTCGACATCAAAGGTGCCTTCGATCCAGTTGATCGATGTGCCCTTTGGAATTGTTTGCTCAGGAAAGGTGTGCCTAGAACATATGTAAATATTATCCAAGCATTATATGCGCGTAGCACGGGCAGAGTAAGGGCTTACGGCAAGCTGTCGCCACCCATCAATATCTCCAGCGGTGTGAGACAAGGATGCCCGCTGTCACCTTTCCTCTTCAACTTCGCTATTGACGAAGTCATGGAGACTGCATTTACAGGACATGACTTTGAAGGTGTGGAGCTACTCTCAGGAGAATGACTTCTTGACTTAGAGTATGCAGACGACATTGCCCTCATCTGTGACAGCTCCCAGACGTGTCAAGCCGCGCTGGACAGATTACCACTGGCTGTCAGCCCCTTCGGGTTTTGCTTTGCACCACCGAAGTGCAAAGCGTTCCTCCAGGATTGGCAGGGTTCGCCCCCTGTGCTGACCCTTGGTGGGGATCAGCTAGAAGTCGTTCAAAAATTCAACTACCTGGGAATATGTATCAGCGCCCTTGGGATCGAAGACGAGATCACGAACCGCATAGCGAAAGCTCGAAGTGCTTTTGCTAACCTTCGCCACCTATGGCGACGGCGCGACATTACTCTCGCCCTGAAGGGTAGAGTGTACAATGCAGCGGTACGTTCGACCTTACTGTACGGTTGCGAAACCTGGCCCCTAAGGTCGGCGGACATGAAGAGGCTACTTACTTTCAACCATCGGTGCCTTCGCAGTTTGGCTCACATCTGGTGGGAACACCGCGTGAGTAACGAGCGTGTTCGACGCCTTGTTTACGGCCTAGGAAAAGGATCTGAACCGCTCAGCACCGTTATTTCACGCATCAGGCTCGATGGCTTGGCCACGTGTTGCGCATGCCAGCCCACCGACTCCCTCGACGTGCGTTGTTTGCTCACCGGGGATGTGGGTGGAAGAAGAGGAGAGGTGGCCAAGCGATGACTTGGTCCAGAGGAATGAAGGCCCTCACTTCGGAGCTGGCCTCAGTTGGAGCTTCACGGCTCCCTGGTTGGGGTCCAAAAGACGGTGAACACGTTTGGCTGGATACACTTGCTGATATGGCAAGGAGCCGACCTCAGTGGCGTTCGTGCTGTGAGTTTCTTTGTCCCTCCCCATCCCTTTAGCCTCCTCCTCCACCTACGATCTTATCTTATAGCGTAAAACATAATAATTTTTCTTTTTGCCTAGTAGCCGGCTAGTAGCTTACCGGAACGATGCGTATCCGTTGCTGGTAGCTCAGCTGGCATTCAACTGTCGTATTTATTTTTCCTTTATGTATTGTATGTATGTATGTATTTCCTTTATGTATTGCGGTACAATAGCGGAGGTGTTTTACCATCTCTAGCTGACATGTATAATGATGATGATGGTAGTGCACACTGAATCCGCCACCCAGTCGCACCACGTGTTTGGACAATCTTTTGTCTATATGCTGCGTGGAACTAGCTTCACATTAGGCACCGTTGCTGGATAAAGGCTAGAACGCCCACGTTTCCCCAGCACACACCACCAACTCATACATGGATGCAAGGGTTATTACATCTACCGTAATTGGATGCTTTGAACTAGCTCATTTCCAAGGTCACTGTGCGTGCTTCGTGTGTCGAAATGATACTGGATGCAATTTAAATGCGTTAAACATGATATTCAATTGGCTTGCGGAGACAAATCAGAGCCTTAGGGGGCAATTCAATTGCACCAGGGATACAATCAATGGGGAAGAGGTGTAGAGCTGCACACACGATCACGTGACCACGCGGTTCCCAACCAGCGAGAGAGGAGACTAAACGAAACGGATCCCTGGGAGCAATTTTATGACCCACAAACGCCGAATCACAGTTGGAACATTGCTTTATTCTGTGGGTGAATGAATCATCACGTAGGGCTGGTGGCTTATGAAAGAACATTAGCCATTTGAGCCAAGTTGCGCTCCGACTCTGAGTGGCTAGATCCTGCTACCTTGTGGGCAGGAATTGAACTTTGGTTCTCGCAGCCCACGCGCTGGATTTTGCGGGGATATTTGACGTGCCCGCAACAGTTAGCTACTGTTATCCTGGCGACCCGAGACAGCGAGTGGATCCAGCACATTTCGGTGGCTGGATCATACTTGTATAACTGAAGTGGACACGTCAAATAATAAAAATCCACCGGTAGGGCTTGGTGATTGTGTGTACAATCCAATACACACTAAGCTGGTGACACAAATTCTAACTTCACTTGTCATTGTAGTTACCAGAAGTCACACGATGCCCATGCAGGTTGACGGACCATGGGTGATCTGTGTTGTAACACCCGTACACCTACACGCAGCATGAGCTCGAAAGGACAAGACCGAACGCAGAACGCACGAGCACGGAGAACGAATGCATATTCGCAAGTTATCGAGTGATTGTCCATCCACTAACACCACGGATATCGAGATGAGCTAATAGAAGAGGATAATTATGCAGCAGATAGATTAATCCCTCATCCACGCAGACCACAGCAGTGCATACCCATTGGGGGAGTTGTTCTACTGCGTCCGTAATGCATCGTGTCCGCGACGATCGACACGTTGCAAACGTAAAGATACCCGAGGGGCAACCGTGATAAGTGAGTGAATAGCAAGTACAAAATTTGTTATGTACAATGGATACATGGGCACACTGGGGTTTAAAAATGCAGTGCGGTTGTTGGATTGCGAATAAAGTCGATCAAACATATGCTTCTTGTCAGACGACGGGTCAGTAGATTGGCGGCTTTGTTTTTTGCCAGGATGGCATGCGAGACCAGCGACAACGTGGCATTGGAGCTGACGGCATTTGATTCTCTGTCTCTGGTAGACAGAAGTTCATTAAGGTGTTGCTCTAGCGTGCCAGACGCATGGAAAGTCGGTTCCACAGACTTGTTGTAAGGATGCAGTAGAAGATCTCCGTGCCTTTGAAGCACTCCCTCTAAACAGACGCATGCGAGATCCACATCCATATTCCGTTCAAATCTACGGTGCAAAAAGGTGAGTGAAAATATGACGGGCGTAACAACACTGTTATGTGGAATACAGACAACCGATGACGCGGGAGCCGAAAATGTTGTAGCAGATGAGTTGACTAGTCTTAATTGTGTATGCAATGTTTACGAGGAAGTTACTACACACGGTTCATAAACTCAGAGGCATGGGGGTAAGGTAGGCTACTCAAGCCCCGAAGCAATGAAAACAAGACTTGTGATGTGAACCAAGTTCATTCACTGGGCTTACCGTTCCAGCAATTTTGTTTGGAAGCGTGTCTTCGCAAGCGGCACAATTGGTAGGGTGCCACAACATGTGGATAAATATAACATGACGAAAGAAGAGAACACGCAAAATTGTCATCACGGAACCAAAGTCTCACAACATGAGTACGAGCTCTTGCATGTCTGAGAGGGTCTCGAACCAGGCGTGTCCGTGGTCATTGCGACCTCAACCAGGGAGTCTACAGTATCCGATCATGATCAGTTTTGAAATTAGCAACTGTGTGCTTTGGAACTAGTTCGTTGGCTATCTTGCTTTCCCTTACAGCTAGATACTGTGTCCAAAGAGGTCACAGTGGGGTAAATGCTGAGCTGGCAATTGAAAGATATGCCAAAGCAACCGAAGCTTGTACAGCGAAATCAGGAAGCTCAGCAGTCAGTAGAGCAAGTCTAATCCGAAAATCTTTCATGAACATCATCATTACAAATATGATGTTGCCATGGTACACCAGTAATGCCCTGAAGGCAGCGGTGATAAAAGGCAGATAACTTCTGGACATCTTTTGCCCGAACAGGCCAAGTCTCGCAACCACAAAGCAGGACCGCCCTCCCCAGAGCGTTGTAGACCCAGCCTTTCATACGAGGCTGAGGTCGAGTCGACGCCAGAGATGGCGAAGATAAGCATTAGAGAGGCGTAAATAGACCTCATCCGTCAAATCGTTAGCACTGTGCTTCCAAGATAAATGAAATTGTCCACTACTTACAAAGGATGAGTAGGAAATTGAGAGTAGAAGCACCTTGGCATCGTTCCTGTGGGAAGACCTTATAATTCCATTGAACGGAAGTCATTTCTCGAAATGGGAGACAGACGTCTCCAACCTACGCAGTACATTCTGGGCGGTCTGCGAAGAGTCATAAATTACGGGGATGCCCACTGCATACTACAAAACGCGAACTTGGTCCACCGGAAGCAGCTAAACGCCGATAGGTTGGTAGCCATAAAAAGTATTCTCCAGGATGTCAATAGCGAAGCAGAACAGGAAGTGTGATGCTGGACAGTTCTGTCGCACATCACTGATGATATTGAAGGGAGGCGAGGGTCTGCGGCACCCACACTCGGTCCGAGAAGAAATGGCCCGGAGCTCGGTACTCCTTTTCTCGACAAACGACTCCACGGAGCAGAGCGACCAAATGATTCCAACGCGGCTCGTATGTATATGAAGACAACGAAGTTCAGCGACAGAAAGTTTGATGATATGAGTATATGGCGGATCGTAAAGATGTGTTCAATACATATTTTGCCTGAGGGGAACCCAACTTGCTCTTCGTGTATGATGTGTACGCGTACCAGGCTGAACTACTCTAGAAGCAGGGTGTCAAACAAATTAGACGGAAAGTGAGTTAAACTAATATATCTACGCTTAGGGCAGTCCGTTCGACTGACCTTTTTAAAGACGGGCGCGATACCCCCAGACTATAATCGAACTGGAATACGTCGGTGAGAGTTCACATTTTCGGATGAGTGATGGGTCCCCATGCCTGAACAGAGCCGGAGGAAGTTCCTCTGGGTCAGAGGTTTTGTAGCGCTTTAGGAGGCAAATCTCACTAGCAATCTCAGCCTCAGATAGTGGTGAAGTCTCTACACACCAAGGAGCACTGCGGATTCCCGGATCGGGACGCACTGCTGCTGCTGATTAGTTAAACTGCTGTTCGGAATACGCAGCCCAAAGCAGAAGTCGATGGTGTTGACACTAGATAAGCACAGCACTAGTGTGTTATACAACTGCGCTTAAAGTCGATCTTTTGCAGCCAATAGGTCGGATCATGAGGAAAAGTCTACGGAAATTCCCTGAGGGCGCAGTTTGCTCCATCTGGATGGTCGGCTGTGCACACCAGGTCTCGCGATCCTCCCAGAAAAACTGCTTGAGTTCAGCACTGGTAATACTACACAGTGAATCATACCCAGTGCAGGGGGAAATTGTTAGACGGGTTGACAGGACAACTGGTGAAACGATAAACCAGAGTTGCAGTTATGCATGGTGCTGCGAATGTGTGGCTATTGCGTCCAAATGTTTGAGCATAAGACACACTTGAGGTCTAAGGTCAACACATCCTGAAAGGCGCTGAGAATGTTTGGGGAAGAAAACAGCCACGTCAAACCGTTTCCGGCGACGCTGTTGGGTGCCACCTGAACGCAGAACGACCTGAGCACATACGAGCGCGAGATCCAAAGTGACGCAAGTACTCCAGATTGATTTGCAATCCTGTATGCACCTCCACTAGAGATCACCGATGGCGATGTAGTCAATTTATGTATACGACTCGCCAAGTGGAGCGTTGGCGCCAACATTGTCGAAAGCTAGTACTCGAAAGGGAAAGGCCATGATCAGCGCAAAGCTGAATTGGGCCATCATTATTGTCTGTACTACTAATATTTTGATCATGTGATCAGCGAGTTCACGTTCACAAATTTCAAGCCTGCCTACCTGCGCGTTTAGTTCCCTGGCAAGCACCAAGATGTTCGTGCGGTGCTTTTTTCGGAGGTCTGAAAGTCCACAGTAGAAATCATTTTTTAAATAACTCCGGAGTGTTATCTGTGGTAGCAGACACTGCTACAATGGGAAATAAGCTTCTGTTGGTTCCGCGGCTGGACACTCGCACTGTTTTAAGTCGGATCGCGCAGAGTCGCCTAATGATATGCGTCCAGTCCAGTAACACAGCCTCAGTCCATGTGCTCCATGCATAATCAGCGACTTCGGCAACTGAATTCCAAGATAAGCGTAATGTGAAAAGACCAGCGGAAAGCACAGACGGTGAAACTAACCGTAGCATTGAGATACATTTCTGGAAACGGTTCTCAGTGAGACAGTAAATAGCAAAGTCGGTAGTTGCTGGAGTGTGATCAAGGACTATTTTCATCTGGTCTGAAGCGGTGCTTGAACATTGAAGGTAGCCAGAATGAACTGGGAACAGGGTGCTAGAAAACCCTGGCCACTATGATTGCGCGGCGTACCTTCGGACCAAAACTCTTGGTCCGTGCGGCGGCGGTCGCGCAGGTTCGGCCGAGGTTAGTATTTTGTGGGAGCAGAAAAAATGATTGAAGAATCGTTGAGCGGAGGGTGAAACGAGTGGAGCCAAAAAGCGCACTTGGACGTTAGTTGGAACACGGAGGCGCGACAATGGCTTCTCGTGAGCGTATAGCACTGTGAAGCGCACCGAACAAAGCAATGCGATTGTACTGGCTCCCCACTAGCCGCCCAGAGGGGTAAGAAGGGGCCCACCTGCAGTATTATGTGTGGTTAATCTAACGACCCTGGATAGGAATATGCACAGTAGATCGGGAGGGACAAATATGAAAACTAGTTGAGTTGAAGCTAGAATGCTAAGCAAGAGAAGCAAAACACGACGGGAACTTTGATTTGGTAGGGAAACAACAGTCTATTTGAGAACAGGAAGTCGATAGGGGAGCTAAACGCCGATCGTGCTCGCAATCGAAAAACTAAAGGTGCCAATGAGTTCATGAGTTACCTGTTGATGAGCAGGCGCAGAAAACCATGCAAACGCTCGCGAGGTGTGCCGTTCATCAACACTGCTGACGAACAGATAGCTTTCTCTTCTTCAACGGACGGCGCTAGTAGGCGAATTTCTAAATCTAATGCACTTGGACCAAACGTTTTGAGGGTTCGCATGATTTCGTCAACTGAAAAATGCAAAGAAGTAAAGTAAAACTGGTGATATGGAGCCCTATCAATCAAAAATGGGTTTAATATTATTAACTCCCACGAAGGGATTTATCTCGCTGTATGGATTATAACAGAGAAGCGCGAGTAAAAGGGATCGGTGTTGTCGTTGCAGTCGGCAGGGTGGTCAGAATCCAGTAGATAATAGTAAAATAAGTAGCGAATTAAAGCAACCAATACTCGGTCGGCCTTCACTCACATTCCTCGTCCGTGGCTGCCTTCACCAACTGGGCGCCTAATCCGGGTACAGGCTCCAACGCAGCCAAGGTGCCATCTACGACAGACGCTCGTCGCTTCCCTGGCGTCTGCTTCCTCCCAACATCCAATCCAGCATCGCTTGTATCAACCCAAGCTAAGCCTTTAGCCGTTTCAGTGATGGGTAAAAAGAAGGGTAGGCTCGACATCGCATCACTTTCTGTGTTGGAAGCAGCAAGGCGATTACGCTCACGAATAACATCCAAGTGTAGAAAATTTGATAAGAATACACTCGACAGACCAGAAAGAGTGGGCAGTTGGTCTGGTAGTTGCTCCGGAGACATGTAGCTGAGATAAAACAGACAATGATAAAGTATACAAATATTAGATAACTGAAACAAACTGTGTCAAACGGAGTACCTGTCGGCGTTGAAGGGTCGATAAAAAAATATCAGGAAGCCGAACAAATAAAAACCATACATGCCAAGCAGATGGCCGTCAGAATTTCAAACAAGCTACTCAGCTGTGCCTCATCCGGTGTCGCAGGCAATGCGAAATCCCGAGCTGCAAAATGATGTAATGCTGTTAGTCGAACCGTTCGCTGAGCTTGGCAATTCTGTTGCAAAGGTTTTACCATCAATCGAGGCGAGATCAACGGTGAGTTGATGTGTAGCGGAGCGGAGCATGCGCGAGAAGTTGCGAATTCGATAGGAAACTGTCTTAACCGAGTGCAGCTGCTCTGTATTAGTCACGATTTTCAATGTACGTTCACGTTTAGAATGTGGCAATCTTAGACGTATCAGCTTGATCTCTATCGCTTTCAAGTTATTTGCTTATGTCGTTCACTATACACTGACAGACACCCGTGAAAAGCAAATTCGAGAAAAGTAGGTCGGGTATCGTCGAAATCGGGGCTGCATTGACCACTTCTCTGGTTTGCGTCACGTACTGGAGCACCGCCGCTTATACTGGCAACCCACGGCAGTCGTGTTCCTCATCAGCACAGGTGCCATTGATACGATAAAACAATGTGTCGGGAGGGACTATATTACATGTTGGATTGAATGCCATATGCACAGCACTACCAGCGAAGAATCACCAACGCAGCCGAATAACCCTAAAGGAAGAAGACATCAGACAAATAGATCGAGTGGAAGCCTCAACTGCGGAGGTGAACGGGCATGGGCAAGGGCTATAGATCAAAGAGGCCAATTTCGAAGGTGATAAGATAATCGACAATTCCGAACAAGGACGACCCGAACAGCGAACGACCATGGCTTATAAAAACATATAGGACTGCCGAATTTACACATGCTCACGCATCGCTCCGCTTCGCTACATAGCAACGCAATGATGATGTCACCTCGATGGATGACGAAAGGTTTGCAAAAGAAATTCAGGCTTAGTGAACATGCGGACTAATAAATTAACCCACTGAGCTATCAACATTTGCTCTTATCTCAAATGGTTTACTACTCTGCAGTAGTAGTAACCAGCTACTAAAATACAGATTCTCCGCGGTCACAACTTGAGGAATAAGAACTGAGGTAGCCCCGTCCAGAACGGAGGGGTGTGCAGCGCCTAAAAGTGAAGAAATTCGAGCGCACAAACCGGCATAGGTAATTGAATCCATAGTCCACGAATGGCGATAGAGAGAACTTGCTGTATGTCGGAGTGGTAATGCAACAGCCCTTTGCATTTTTGGAGTGTGAAGGGAATGCCGAAACATCAACCTATTCAAAAATAGTCGCCTGCTCTAAATTGATCAGTCCGGTACCTGGTATAAACTATAAGAGAGTGATAGAGGAACATGGGAGGATTACATTCACCAAAAGTGTAAGAGGAATGGAGAAATAGGACGGTGGTAGAGTACCTGCTTACTATAGGAAGTTGTGCAGAGTCATTCGTAGACAGAGTGTAGATACATTAAAGATATCAGGATCGAAAATCTCTCCGGTGAACACAACAAAAAGAAGTAGAGGTACGAACCGGCGTAATCTGCTGAGACATTCTCCAAATCAAGAAAAATCGTCATCGTAGCCAGTTCGTGTGCATGATGTCTTTCAGACACATGGGTAGACGGAGTACGATCAACGAAACTTCCCGAGGGACAGAAAATAAATTGGCTTTACCCAATTCAGCCACCACGAAGGACAACGAACGACTGTTGTGAGATGTAGGTAGGCAGTGTGTAAGCGGTGTCGACAAAGCTAGACGCGTAGTATCGTTAGATGCCCTGGCGAGTAGTCAGTGTGCTTCAGTTATAATAGAGAGGAGTCGTTGGGATAGTGCACTGTCCCAGTTCAGTGGTATCCGCATGCGTCTGATCGCATGCATGATGCGAGGGGGCCAGGATTTCAATTTCCCAGATGGTCTAAATAATAAAACTGACACACCAGGAGGGCTGAAATGCTCTTCAAAATATCCAGTCAGACGGTCAAGTCGGTCTGACTGGTATGGAGAAGATTACAGCAGGTCCATCCATTCCGCTGGTTAGTGACAAATGGGAGTGCAAGCCGACTGCGAAGTTACAAACGTGAACAGGCCAGAAAAGTATGGAACAAGGAAACGTACAACCATGCGTGGCTGGGGACGGCGTAACTGCTCTACATGGAACGACGGTAGTACATTGCAGTGCAACGGGAGTCAGGGGAATGTAAATACGTCAAACTAACGAAGAAATACTAGGAGTACCAATAGAGCCATATGAAAAAACAGCATTCCTGTAGACGGCACAAGGTGTAGACCAGTCGGCGAGAAGCAAGAACAAGGCGATTTTCAAATGAAGTCAGGTTCCGCTGACAGCAGCATATAATTCCGCGGACGTTGTTTCATATACCCAGGTGTTGGCAAACCGGTTGACGTTAGGAGAAAGCAATCTAGCATGTGTAGAGGTCGTATAGAAGATGTAAAGGATGTGTATGGCTCCTAAAGGAATCACCAGAACGAGGACTACTAAACAGAGCTTAACATGATGCGAAAACTCCCTTTGTTATATATATACTTAAGCTTATCTGAAAGAGCAGCGATAACGCCTTCAATAAAGTTATCGTTCTGTTACGTTTCGCTCATCCGTTGTCCATAACAGCACGGGCCGTGTTGTAGGGTGCTTAGAAATAGTCCTTCTAAGAACTACTACTGTTCAAAGTTGGATTTTGAGTACCCGCCGTGTGATTGGACTGCGACATCATCATCCTCAATAAACGTTAGCTGAGGGTGGCAAACACACCTCAGTGAATGCGCCGCAATGTAAAAAAATAAGATACAAGAATCATATTACAAAAAGATTCCAAGCAATTAATGTGATGTTAAGTAGTATATTATGCGATTTGTATGATACCGGGATTGGAGAGGGCAGTGGACAAAAAAACAACACAAACGCCACTGAGACCGACTCTCTTCGTCATATCAGCAGGTGTATTCAACCAAACGTCTTCATCGTCCTTAGAACCCCAGCCAGGCAGTCAGGATGCACCAACCGACCGCCAACTTCAAAGTGAGAATTTTCATTTCACTCGACCAAGTCAGCACTTGGCGTTCTTTTCCTACCGCACTTCCGGCGCGCAAACAATGCACGTCGCAGAGGTTGGTGTGCTGGCATGCTCAACACTTGGCTCAGCCATCGGAGCTTGGTGCGTGATATAATGGTGCTGAGCGGTTCAATTGCGCTTCATGCACCGAATAGGTGACGCCGAACACACTCATTGCTCACGCGGTGCTCCCACCGGACATGAGCTAACCTGCGAAGGCAACGATGATGATTGGGAGAAGCAACTATCCCTGTTTTGTTTGGGCAACGGGACCATAATATTGAATGAACACCGTACCAAACCTGGTGCTTCCGAATGTGACTGTCATGGTAAGAACAGGCGACATCATCTTGAAGAACGCCTTTTGCCCGTTCGACGGCAATCGTTTCACATGGTACTCGAATATTTAAAAGCATATTGTAGGTTATGGTTAACTATAAGGGAGTGATTTCATGACAAACACAAGATAGTTTGGACCGGCAAAAGGACTTCATCCAATTACCCATCTCTACGTACACTTTTGGTTCCGTCACAAAGTGATCTCAGTTCATCATACCAAACTGCGCACAAACCACAAGCAGGCTAAGGAGTCAATGTAATCGACTCACTATCATACATCGCGTCCTTGCGTAAACCACCATTCCTGTACAAGACATTTGGTTCTATTTCAGACGATGACGGTTGGTAATTTTACTTGCAATCTTCGAGAGATTTGTCAGTTTGGCCCATGGCTGTCGATGCGACTGCACTCAGTGAACAGCGCAGCTCTAGGAACGCTTCAAAGCAAACACCAGTAGTACGCCGGTACATCTCAACGATGCTTTGCCTTCACGTGACTACCATACTAGCCGCGTGTGAGCGAGGAATGCTGCGAGGTTGCCCGCAAGCTGGAACGGCGGCGACCTGAGGACTACAACTAAGACATCTGAATCACTCGATCACCCAGCGGCCTAACAACACGGAGATCAGACCTCACAAACTAGTAGTGTGTGCGGCATTCATTAGTTTGCGATTGCCTTAGTGCCCCACCACTGAAATGGCATACGGATGTGCAAGGAGTTGCTTACAAACAAAAGTCCAGGAAGAAATGTGACGGTGCATGTCGTTTCCTGAGAGTGGAAACGGTGCTCGAAAATCCAAGCCAACAAGAAAGCCGTGGTGAATGATATCACAGACACGCTGACTACTGAACATCATCACATAAAAGCTGTGTGTAAATAGTCGTACTTAAAATCTGTATCTGCCAATAATGCTCCGGTCAAGTGCACCGAGTGATTTATGAGCGCGATAGCAGAGATCAGTGTTAGGATAGTTGGAGTAAAGCATACATCAGTCATCTGACGCGTGGTGGAGAAGAACCGGTAAACGAATTAAATCAAACCAACATCGTGCACAAGATCTCCATGACATCTATCAATAAGTAGATAAGTAGAGGTCAGGCGGTGGAGCCTGTGTAAGTTTTTGGAGCAATAAACCTTCCCGTTGAGTGGAAAATAAGTAGCAAAAAAGTGGAAACACGAACCTATCCGTTGGAAGTGCTTGTTCCTTCATACTTTCGGTGTAAGAGCCTTCATTGAGTTCTCTAATGCGTCCCTCTAGGTCATCTTCGTGGATATCCGGACCCACTCGCAATCCGTCAGCTGAGACGACGAGGGATCTGTGAGAGTATTAGAAAAAGCAACGGAACTAAAATCAAACCTGCAATTGTATGACTAGCATAACCGTCGGATTGGGCTCACCGCGACGGTTGATAAACACCGAGGACGCATGGATTTGGGAAGAGTTAATCTAATGAGACGTTTGGCGCATATATATATATATATATATATATATATATATATATACATATATATATATATATATATATATACATAGTGGAGATAGGAGTAAGAATATGGAAAGCAGAGGTGTAGCTGATGGCAGGCAAAAGCGGTGCCCAATGAGTCACTGCGACGAGGATACCAAAGTGGGGATCATGGGAGGAAATGTGTTAGAGAAGGGGGGAAACCGCGCAGTGTATGTCCGATATAAGCGCTAAAAGACAGTATGTGCTGCAGACATACAACAGTGAGGACAGAAGTGATCCGATCCATACTATTCGAGGGAGTGCAGACTCGAAGATTCATAGCATATGGAGCGTTGGAAACGCGAGGGTTATGAAACAAATCGGACAAGCAGTGCTTAAACGACTGCGATATGGGGACGAAAATGCAACTGAGATGTGAGTCCCTAGGGTGAAGACAGACCTGGACGGAACGGAGGTGACCCGAGTGGTGAGGGGAGGCACAAAGTTGTTCGCAAGCGGTTGCAAATGGAGCCGTCTATAAGTGCCACGATTGTCCCACAAATGGATGCCCAGTGAGTTCGCGTGAGTAGTGGCCAAAAACTCATTGGAAGGTGACAGCGCCACGGATGTGATTGGTGCGCTCACTCGAAAACAGTCAATGAGCCTGAGAGTAATGGAGACAAAGAGGACAGTTGTTGCACTTCTTGTTTCAGCGGTAAAGTGAGCAAACAGGGAATAGAGAAGGAATGCATGGAACACCGGGAAATGCAAGCACTCATCTTATGAGGTTGACAGAAAGTTATCAGCCATCACAGGACCGGCATGCCATCACTGTAACCTGGCTCGAAAGATGTTTTCGATTCAGTGCTACTGACAAATTAGCAACGCAAGAAGAAAAGGAGAGCCAATAGCTAAAGATGGATCAAGTTATAAGACAAACCTGCTATAATGACAACAATAATACTAAAAGATCAAATGAGTTGCAAAATAAATAGGAAACTCGGAGAGGAAACAAAAAGTTACAAATACCACAGGAAAGAGTCAGGGGTCAGAAATAAAGAAAAAACGCTAAAGAAATTGGAAAACACAGCCATTCTGTTCAACAAGGAATTTTAACAGTTATTAAATCGTTAATTCTAACTTTAGGATGGTAATATGATCAAAAGCGTTCACCTACTCGGGGGTTTGTCAAACGGTCGCCAGTCAGAAAAAATTGGCCAAATCAACTATATTCGCGATCCCTCAAAACGGCGAAAATGAAATGTTGAATAAAGCAGTCGATGTGCCAAGCTAATTGGTCAAATATTGGGTCAGACTGTGGTTCACAGTGCGAACGTCCGAAATTGCGTGAGCGCTAAACATTGGCACATTAGCCTGCTAGAAGATCAGCATTGGGCTAGCGTGGGGGCTTAGCTGCTAGGTAATGAAATATTTTCAAGATTGCCTCACCTCCCGTTCAGAATATCCCAAGTTTTGATCAACGAATCGCCATTATGTGCAGAGATTAGCCAGCGGCCGTCGGTAGACATCGCCTAGTGTGGAAAGGAAAAAAAAGATCGAACGATGCCTTCAATGCTCTCCGTAGCAATGTTGAAAGTAGGCAACAGATATGTTAAAAACCAGACGTGGTCAGTGGGCTCATGCAAACGAGTAATGCTTACTGTGGTAGCCAGTTGATCGAACAAAAACTAGAACCCTTGAAAAAATCGTGCGGACAAACAGATTAAAACGTTCACGTTGCAAAGGTACAGAGGGAATACTGCGGAAATAGAGACAATTCATAGAACAGTATCGAGGGGCTAACACTGGCCGAGTTGATAAAGGTAGAAAGAGTTCATTTGCTTCGACCAGGAAAAAGGAACAGGTGTAGCTCCATTTGACTGATGCATTATGGTTCGGGTATCAAAATATAGTGGATCAGGTTGCCTTAGATCGCATTAATGGAAAAATGAAGTTGGAAGAACAAATGGAGCGCGAACAAGGACAGAGGATCAGAAAGCACGTTGGTGGTTGTTGTTGTCATCGTCAGATGTCCGAGCCGGCCGAAGATAGTTAGGGGATGAATGTGACAGCGTCAGTGAGCACCAAGGAAACCCTCTGAATGAACAAGGTTTATATTGGTACATGTACCAAAAGTTGATGGAAAATGGCTAGTGCAGACTCGGGAGGCAGATGACCAGTTGTTGCGAAGCTCGCATGACTGTTGAGCGGTAACTACGGATGTAGACGACTTGTTAGCCTTTGACAGAGGCGATACCCGAATTCTCGCCATCGAGTAGTCTTTTTTTCTGGGTCACAGTACAGTCGTGCGAAGATACGTGTTTCGTCTAAAGTTTCAGCCTTCGTGCACATATGTCTAGCGTTTAAGAAGTACAGATCCGATTCAGCTGGCTAGTTTGCGCGTAGGGTATTATCAGAAAAGAGCATTTCGTCCGTTCTGATAGGAGTCGAAGACTTAGGATGTGTTATAACAACAGTACCGAGTAGAGGCCAAGCGATGTGACGCGAACGTCAATGTAGATAAGCGTTGTAGTGGTAGACGGCACATATTTGAAGTAACCGATCGTGGCGATCAG